CAGAATTCAATAAATTGTAACCTATAGCGCCTCGAAAGTCAATGAAGAAAAGTGACTTTTTTTGCCCCCCCCCCTATACTTCCCTAACCCTCAAGACGCTGGCAGACGCTAGATCTATGCCTATACTTTCTTAGTCGCCGACGCTGCCGGAACGGAACCGGAATCGGAACGCTAGCGGTGGCTGGTGGACGCTGGTGGACGCTGCCGCGAAGTATGAACGCAGCCTAAAGAATAGCAGAGGCGTAAAGTGGGTCGGGCTATAACAACCCTCCAGCTTCATTTCACAATACGTTCAAGTTGCGAAAACACCATCTTTTGAGCTGTAGACCAGTAGACTTGCCCAGTTCGTGTAAGGGATCTCCAAGCACTCAGACGAACAGTTTTTGAAGGCTTGTCCGAGCTACATTAATTTTTTTTCTTCCACCGCGTCCTCTGAACGAGTCTCGTTTAAGCAGAGTAGAATTTTAAAAAATTGTTATTTACAGACGCTGCAGATACAGCGAGATGAGGTGAGCGATATCTCGTTGGCCAGCTCGCCACAGATGGGGCGACGAAAGCTGAACGTACGAGAAAAATCGCGTCAAATGGTCAAATACGTGCATGAACAACGAGCCGCACGTACTTTATCGATTGTTGTTGGAGCGTTTATTATATGTTGGACGCCATTCTTTGTCTTTTCTCCACTTACGGTTTTATGTGATACGGTGGGTGTTCTCTATAAACCTTCAAAATTCCATTTCCAGTAGGTTACAGCTTAAACCTTACTATTCATTGTTGTGACCAAACCGTGGATAATGATCCCGGTTTTATTAGTTCTTTGTGTCATCTCTCCAAGTCTAGGCCAAAGTTTTAAGGTTGGGCTCGTATGTACATCCCTGAAGACTTGCAAAGATTGAGAACATATCCAAAAGCTGACACCCTTCTCTCCTGATCCCTTGCAGTTAAGCACAATAATTAGAGATATAAATCGATGGTGCAGGGGCAGTTGGCGCGCTCAGCACGCAGCCCGGGAGTGAACTCCCTGCTCGGCTCCCGCTCAGACCAACCAAGCCTTCTACCCTCTCAGGTGGAAAATTGTACCAGGCTCGTCTGGGAGGATAAATTAGGTAAGTTTACCGATCTGTACGTCTGTTGACGCCAGTCACGGCATGGGCCATATCGCATCAGCGGGCCACTAGGATTCTGAATGAGGGTACAGTGTTTTCCTCTGCTTATGCCTGAGCGTGTCAGGGAGTTGGGTTTGGCGCGACGGCAGCTCGTTTTCCACAATTGATGTCGCTTGCCCACTTCTGCTATAGGTGTAAAACTGGATGGCGCCGTGACAAACCCACCTACCCTGCCTGACACGCCCCCGTATTCGCAAAGAAAAACGCTGTACAATGCGTGCCGCATCCCAAAAGGTGTCGATCAACGGAGAAGGATACCCTTTTTTGAGCGCGGTTCGGCTTGGTGAAGGCACCATGCAGTACTGAACAAAGATTTAACAAGCCACCTGTGAACTGGCAGAAGAATCGTCATTCCCGGGTAACCGGAGTGACTCCCTCGTACCATTTCGCAGCTTCACAAGATTGTGCAACCTGTTGGACTTTACTCAACATGAACTCGTAGAACAAACTATCGAACGTGTAAAATGCCCCTCCCACTCGCCGCCAGCAGAAGCCAGATAGCCCCGTTCTAAACCCGCGCAGTTTTTACAACATATCCACCCATTAAATTCCTACTATGATTTTTTAATGACAAGTATTCTAATATTTTTCTATGAAATGATTTTTCAGTGCTTTGACTACAAGGACACGATCTTCACAATAGTGACGTGGGCCGGTCATCTGAATTCGATGCTGAATCCGCTAATCTATTCGCGTTTCTCACGTGATTTTCGACGAGCTTTCAAGCAGATTCTCACTTGTCAACGTGAGCAAAAAGTGAAGACAGCGTTCAAGACGCCATTATCGCTTGTGTTCACTCAGCTCATCTCAGTCACTCAAATGTGGGACCCACCACAAAATACACCTATTGAATGACGTAATATCCTCTAATAATTTAATCTAATTAAAATTGTGCTGTCACAAATCGGAAAAATGGAGTCTATAACTTTCTAGAGACAAAGGTTGTATTGCTAGCTTGAGTGAAACGATCCTGCCCGTCTTCTGACGGGGCCCATCATTTCTGAGAAACGAATCCTTGACCGGCGGAGGGTCGTATTTCAGTTTTTGAGGAGAGCTCGTTTACGGCCTGGTTGAATTTTTTCTGAATTGTAGATGTTTCGCGTTTCGGGACCGCTACACAGCCTTGTTCTCTGCGGCCGCTGGGCGTTTCAGGAAGGCGGGGTTTGACGCGGCGCCAGCCTATTGTCCACCAATTATGGTCGCCTGCCAGCTTTCACAATCGGCGGAGGACAGGCTGCTCAACCGAAGTTCCAATAGGCCCAACGTTCGCAGTTCGCAGTGCGCAAGACTGTAACGTGGCTCTGGCCGGTGGTGACGTTGCAGTATTGTTTCTGATAGGTAATAAGAGGCTTGCTTCTCCGTTCTCTTGAGGGATATTGACAGCGGGAGCGGGCTCGTTTCTCGAACTCTCCCCCTCACTTCCACATGGCAATGTGCCTTAGTTTCCTAGAGCAGCACTGGAGGTCGGGAAGACACTATTCCTTGTCTGGGCAGTTCCAGATCATTCCAATCACACGCAGGACATCCCATATCTCCAACATCGAACGGATACTAAGTAGTGAAAATAATACTAAAGTAACTCCATTCTCCCGATTGCTTCAGCACGAAAATATTCTTGTATATGATGAATGTAAACTGCTTTCTGCCCTGTTCGAGTGCTGCACATACCCGTAAGTATGCTTTTCTCACTTTATGTCTGCCTTTAGATAGTGTGCTAATAAGTGGTGACATTCAGCAATTCGATGTATCAGGCCTGGAACCTGAAAACTTCCCTCATCAATTATTCGTTGCATAATTTGAATGATCTCATTGATCTTGTAAGATCATAATTTCACGTAAAACTACGGGCGTTGACATGCCATGTACTCTGGTGCAATATTTATAAATGCACCGGTTCATATTGTATTGTGTACGGAGCGTTGCAAAATAATGGTAAACCTTAATTTTTAATGAATGTTAAATATTTCAGCTTCCAAGAACATCTTGAATCACAATCGGTACCATCAGAACATGGGTTTCAATCAGCAGATCTGAGTTGATTGGGGGGGGGGGGTGGCGAAAGAGGCATTGGAGTCACGCGCGCGGCATTCGCACCAGGATCCGACCGATTCAATGTGGCAATGTTGCATTGTAATGCCTCAGGTTAACCAGCTACTGAATACCAATTTATGCGCATTATCGCAACTCGGATGTCCTGAGCTACTCCCTTAGAACTACTAACAGTCCGATACTCACAGGCTACCAAAAACTAGGTTGTCAGGCTGTAAAAAGAATGACGATCCCCCACTGAATGCGTAATAGCAGAACGAAGCCCGACACTTTTTATCCCATAAAGATCGTAGAGTTTAAGAGGCCCCTAGAAACCCCAATAGGAGTTTCTAGGGGGGGGGGCGTGGACTGGAACACAGCCATAGTGACCTTTTCCTCCAGTTATTGCGTGCTTAGAATCATATAAATGGAGGAAAATGCCGCCTGGACTGCGCTCAATTTTTCGCCCCTGACAGTGACAGTTCTATCTTTGAGAGCGTGTTGTCGCCCTTGAATCGCCTCAGTTCTATCAACAGAACTCGAAAGCTCTTGAAATAGTGCTCTTCTCGGCACTCTAGCCCGCCTGGTCATCTTTGGAAGGTGTCAGAACGTGTCTTCAGCCTTCAATTTTATCCAGGACTAGAATATATGGTGAACTTCAAGGTTTAGCTCTATGCGGCAGATATTCTTCGAAGGAAAGAAAGTTCTGTTGCGCCTATAGAGGCTTTTTTTTCCAAAAAATGAAATTTAGTCTGAATGAGAGAGATGGTACTGCCCTTCAGTAGAGAACCATGGAAAGTGTTGGAGCTCTTGAGGACGATTTGCTACAGACTTGGAAGAGCACAATGGTCTCTGGGGCTAACTTCTGCTGATTGAGCCTAGAGTAGTACAAAAAGGTGGAAGATAGCCGTGGTGGTGAAATGGTTGGCACAATAGCAAGGTAAATTTGAGGCCCATGTTCGCGTCCTGATCAGGCTCAGGTCTTTTGTTCACAGGCCAGCCTTTTGGTATTTATAAGAGGCCTAGATGCAGGCTGCAGCATCATGATCAGAAAATGGCTCCGTCTCACAACCACGTCTTCCACAGAACTTCCTCTTCTCGTACGACTACCCTTTCATCATCTTTCATACCATCATTCCGAGGTCTTCTAGCTTCCTACCATTTTCTA